GCGATGTCTTATCCGTTGGTAGATGAGAATGTTGCCAGGTTCGTCTTGCTCTTCGTTTCTGTGCAATTAGCTTCTTAATCTCTTGCGGAATTATTAGATTATCATTTCTTGGATTAATGTTCGGGGTGATCTGCTTGGTTGTTTCACGTACAATCTCAGAAAAATAATCTATATTATTTTCTATATCAATAACGCTTGTAGGCCTAGATTTTGGAAATAATTTTGAATCAAGTATGGATTTGAATTGAATTCAGTTAGAAAGATTGTTGTGTAGAATATGATTGTTGATAACTGGAGTAGGAAATGTGCTAAATGTCACAAGTATTGGAGAATGATCTGAAGAGAGATCGTAACTAGATTCAATATTGAGATTTGAAAGATCAATACCTTTCACAATAAAAACATCTAAAAGGTCTGGAACTTTAGTAGGGTCAGAAGGCCAATAAGTGGGACTGCAAGTTGAAATAAAGGAGAGGTTATTTTGCCCTATGGCTGCATGAAGAATCTTTCCTTTGGCTGTAGTCAGTCTAGAACCCCAGGCAATATGTTTACAATTAAAGTCACCACCAATGATAAATTTATTACCTAATTGAGAGAAAAATGAAGAAAACTGAGCACAAGAAATTTTGAATCTTGGTGGACAATAAACAGCAGAAACACAAAAATTATATAAATTTGTTTCAACAGAAATTTGAGTTGCTTGTAGAAAATCATCAGAAATATTTGGTAGAACAAAATGCTTTATATTATTTTTGATTAATATAGCCGAACCGCCGCGAGCCCTGCCACTTGGGTGATTTGAATTATAAGTAGTGTAGTTATAAATTTTGAAGTAGTTTTTTTCAGTGAAGTGAGTTTCTGAGATTAATAAGATATCTATTAAGTTTAACTTTAAAAAACATTCTACTTCATTTTTGTGAGGTATTAAACCGTTGGCATTCCATTCAGCAATTTTAATTATTTTTGCTATTGCTTTTGTTGTTGACTAACGTGGATAACATATTTATTATTATGGTGTTCTGTTGCAAAAGCTGATTGAAGATATTTTTAAATTCTAAAATAAGTGTTGCTAGAGAATCAGAATCAGGATTTGAAGGTGAATGATTAGAAGCAGAGTAATTGTTTTTTGCAATGTCTGCATAGGATGAATTTTGAATTGTTGGATTTAAGGCCGGAGAAATGTTGTTTATTTTATTAATAGAATTAGAATTATTAGAATTTGTAAAATTTTGGTTATTTGGATTTGGATTTATGACTGATTGATTTACTGGAGTTTTGTTTCTTTGTTCTTTAATTTTTTGGAAGTATGAGCAACCGCGATAATTAGCTGGATGAGCACCGTCGCAAAAATAACAACAAGCCGGAGCATTCGGATCTTTGGTACAAGCTATAGTATTATGATTGTCACCGCATTTTAGGCAAGCAAATGGTCTATTGCAGTATTTTTTGGTGTGATTAAAGAGTTGACAGCGAGTGCATTGTATAATGTTGTTGGACTTTCTCGGTGGTTCGACGCGTATTATGCAGTTGAATAATTTATAAATGTTATAAATATTTTTGTTATTTCTATTTGGTTCCAGATCAACAAAAAACATATTAAGAGGTTCTTTTGTTATTCTATGTCTAATATTTAGGATATTACGTACGACATGACCCTGTTTTAATAGTTCTAATTTAATTGCATCTGTGCTTGTTGAAAAGTGTACATTTCTAAGAACAACCCTATAAGCCTTCTCTTCTTTTAATTGATATGTATGATATACGGCATTAGTTTCTTTTAGATGTCTGGATAAAGTTCTAAAATGGTCGACAGAATTACATAAAATTTTAAATGTATTGTTAGCTAAACTTCTCAGGAAATATTGATCGTGCGGAATTATTTCATTTAATTGATTAGACATATCATTAATATCGTCAATTACGTAAATAAATATTGGAGGGGGCTTACTGACTGGAGCCGGTTTAACTGAGTTGTCATCATTAGCTGTTTCTATTGTTGAAAGGGCCAAAAATCTGTTTTGAATTTTGACATCTATTCCTAATGGTTCAAATGAAGTTTTTCTTTTTTTGAAATTGACTACTTGCCATGAATTAGGAGGTTTCTTGACATCAGAATGTGGTTGAGTGAGGCTTGTAGATGCACTATTACTAGATGATATTACTTCCTGTCTTGAGTCAGAAACTGATGAAGTTAAACGCAGCGAGACCTTTTCCGATGTAAACATATTGGTCCGACCTTCTTCGCGAGGTATCTTGCTGTATTTGCTGGATCCAATAACGGTCTTTCGTAGTTTTGGGATTTCTGATGGTTTACTGTCCGATTCCATATTCGCTTCTATATCTTGATTGAAATGTAAGACATTTCTTTGATTCCACAAACGCACATTAGAGTCTCGATTATGTATGGTTTTTTGTAAGCAATTATTTAATTATCTGTACACTTTTGTAAGTTTTTCATGCAATTTTAATAAACCGTAAAATTCAATCTGACATGCACTTGTTTTTTTTTCACAACGGTTATTGACACAAAATATATATTTTCTAAGTTTAAGTTATTACTTTAAAATTACACGAATAATATATATGCAATAATGCTCTATGACTTTTCTTACTCTATTTTAATTGAAGTTTAAAATCAACCCTTCATTTTTAAATTCAATGTGAAACTTTTTTGGTATATAGCTTTTTGCAATGTTTTGGGGTTTTATCCAATCTGTAGGATTAATTTGTTGCCTCATCAAAAAATTGACTAAAATGTATTAATTTAAAATAAAAGCAGATACTTTTTGGATTTAAGGAACGTTGTAATCGACATGTATTCTAAGTTTTTAAGTTATTCAGTTATTTTTTGTAGTAATCAAATTTTGAATATTTATTTTACATTATTATATCAAAACTTTAGTTTAATAATATATAGATAGTTTAATGCAATTTATTGTAATTAAAATATTGTATATCTTTCATGAATTTTGCAATTATATTGGCAAGCTCAAACCAATTTTATGGAAACGGTTATAAACACCTGAAAATTATTATTTTCAAAGTTTTTCAAGATATTACTTACTTTAGAACGACATAAAAACGACAATTGTAATGCTCTTATGACTATTCGTACTCTCTTATTTTAATGTTTAAGATGAGTCTTTCATTATTATATTAATATTGAATTTCCAACGATTTGGACTTTTTCCAATTTGAAGAAATAATTCATTCTCATCGAGTCGCAAACTAATATTTATGAATTTAACCTCCAGTATATTTTTAAACAATGCAGAAACTTCTAGAATTTAAGAAACGTAACAATAGAGCAATATACTCAATTTTTAAATTTTACAGTTATTGTTTCTGATTACTAATGTTGTAATATTCAAACTTTATATGTATTTTACATTGAAGTTTTTTATAAAATATTTTATATTTTGGATTTTGCAATGTTTCGGACTTCTTCTAAGCCTTTTCGAATAGTTTGTTTCCTCGTCAAATAAATGACTAAAATTTATTAATTTAAACTGATGTATCCAAAATATTTTGCAGGTAATTTTTATTACCACTAAATTTGTAATATACATATTTTTAATATATATTTCAAATAAACAAATTTTAACATATTTCTATATTTTGTATTGCCCTTCTAATTAAAATTCTATGGTATTTATATGAATTTATTTGAGAAAAATTAAATTTAATTATTTAAAACCATGCGATGAACAATATGTTTGACCAAACCCGCTTTGACCAACACAAATAAATTGTTTGGTTTTCCCACACGTGAGCATGTCACATATAATTGTCCGTGTGAAAAACATTAATTCTCGTGATCGTTTGTCCCTGAGCCTAGTTGATTTTCATCGCGAATGCCAATCTTACAGGAAATTGTAACCTCTTAAATGGAATTGTACAATCTGAGGATATCATTGGAGTCCGTGGTAGAAGAACCACTTGCCCTTTAAATTTCTCTGTCAATATTGTTGCTTCTATTACATATTGCCTGTTATCCTCTTTATGACCAAACGTGTACCATTGCACTACTTTGGCGGATTTAAATTACGCATTAGAATAATTGGCGAACTAAATTCTAACGTACTGGTTTCTCTGTAATCTTAAGTGGTTCAATCCGATCTTTTACTGATGAGCAATTCTGTTTAATTAGGTACAAATTACGCATTAGAATAATTGTTGAACCAATAATGAATTGCAGATTTTGTAATGGCATTCCAGGTATATCTGGTAAACTTTTTATAATGGTAGTTATTTACGTTTCAACATTGCCCAAACGATTAGTTTTTACAATAATGATTAAACTTTTCATTAGAACAATAAATGCAGAATATTTCTGACTAAACTTGATGTGATATATGTATGTAGTCATTTTTGGCGTGTTCTATGACCGCGCTCTGTCAGGCGTGATATAAAGACAACATCCCGTCAGGTGTGATATTATTACAACACGGCGTAGTATAGTTGTTATAACAAGTTAAAAATTTGCTTATTTGAAAACGTTGTTTAATATTAATAATTATAATACTTTTAATAATTGTATTACTTAGTACTACCACAAAGACTATATATTATTGAAATTAAAAGACATTATAAAAGAATAAGGCTATATTTATTAATATATTAAAAATCAAATTAGCAGTTTTATAAAAATTCCAATATTATTACAAATAACTATACTACAATAATTTTTATAAATTATTTTTGTAAGTAAATTTATGATTATAATTATATGTAATTTAACAAATTTAACATGAAAAATAATAGATAACATAAGTCGCACAAAAAATCACCAGAGTATATTCAAAATTTTGTTTATCTTCCTATCTTTTATTTTATTTATTTGCATTTTGTATGGCGTATACAAACTTCATCAATGTTATGTTTTCATTGTTTATTACTGTTTTCAATATTTTTTTTTTTTTTTTTTTTATTTATGGCTTTTAATCTTTCGATCATTTCGCCAGTTACATAGATATATACATTTATTTACAATTCCGAACTTATAAATCAATCTTAATACTAGTTATATACTTATACATAATTTTGTATATGTCAACATTATTGTAAGATATCAACACTTGTGAATTTATTGGGAACACGATTCCTTTGTCCTGTAACATTTTATACATAGATTTCCTTTGTTTCATATATATTTTACATTTCCAAAAAATATGATCTATCGTTTCTTGTTCTCTGCCACACTGGCACATGGGATTTTGTATTATTCCTATTTTTGCAAGATGGGATTTGCTTCTTGTGTGTCCGAATCTCAGCCTTGATATAGTAGAAATAAATTTTCTGTCCTCTTTTACCTTTTTAAACCACGTTTTTTGTGTTATTCTCATATTTGTTAGAGCGTATGTTGTTCCCTTATAATTTAAAGATTTTGAAAACTCTCCTTGCCAAGTTTTTAAACTCTGCTCTTTAATCAGATAATTTAAATCTAATGCCGGCAGCCTCGTGTATTCTTCTCCATTTTGACAAGCTTCTCTCGCCAGTGAATCTGCAGTTTCATTTCCTATGATATCCGCATGTGCTTTAATCCATATTAATGTCATAGAGTTTTCGCTATTATTTATTGTTTTCATTGTATTTAATATTTCAAAAATTAATTGGCTTGATCTTCTATTTGGCTTTTGTAAAGCCAATATGCTCGCCTTGCTATCACTGAAGATAATACATTTTGGTATTTTCTTTTCCCATGCGTACTTGACTGCAGTGTGTATTGCAATAATCTCTGCTGTAAAAATCGATGTAAAATTTGGTAGTTTTAATTTCTTGCTATATTTGTGATTTGGCACATATATGGCACAACCGGCGCTGTTTTCCATTTTTGATCCATCGGTATATATGTGCAAATGTTCTGGATATCTTATAGCAATATTGTCTTCAAAGTCCTTGTTTTTGCAGATTTTACTGATACTTATCAAATTTGTTAAATTAATGGTTAAGTCTATATAAGGGTTTACCGTTGCATATGCTTCAGGAAAGTTATAATATGGTATTTTTTTATTCGTTAATATAAACTCTTCGTTAGGTTTGATTTCATAAAAGCTCGTTATTAGTGGTGGCGCAGGTCTATTTTTCCAAAATGAGCTGGTGACATGCAATCTTGCCAAGTTTTCTAATTGCTTGGGAATATCGTCACAGCCTTCATTAAGTTTCTTTACTAGAAATCTTTTTGATAATGCTTGTCTTCTAATTGTTAACGGAGGTTCGCCAGCTTCATTTATCAAAACATTTGTTGGTGTGGATCGAAATGCTCCTAGGCAAGTTCTAACTGCTGAAAATTGTATCCTGTCCAACTTCTTCTGTTCGCTTTGTGATACTGCTCCGTATATGAAACAACCATAATCTATTCTTGATCTTATAATACTTCTATATAGCATTAAACATGTTTCTGGGTGAGCCCCCCATTTTGTATTTGTGATTTTGCGTAGAATGTTTAATCCCTTTTCGCACTTTGCTGTTATCTCACTAATGTGTTTTTTAAAATTCATTTTTGTGTCTAAGTTAATACCCAGGATTTTTATGTTGTCTTTTATTTGTATTACATGATTCCCTATCCTTACTTGTCCAATATTACTAGGAAGTCTATGCCTGGTAAATATCGCCGCTGAAACTTTGGTAGCTGATACACTCAGATTGTTTGTTGACAGCCATTTTATGGTTTCTTCTATTGACATATTTATTTCTGATATGCAAGTTTCTATGGATGCATGCGAAATATATATATAAATATCATCTGCATACTGCAGCTTTTTGATATTCAATGCTGATGTTAAATTATAATCAGACATGTATATATTAAATAAGATAGGACTCAATATTGATCCTTGGGTTAGACCTTTGTTTATTATTCTAGGCCCAATTAAATCATAGTCAGTTCTGAGGTATAGTTGCCTTTGTGTTATTAATTTCAATATTACATTAATTAAGTTTTGAGGTAATTTTATATTTTTTAATTTCTTTACTAATATATTATGATCCACGTTATCATATGCTTTCTCAATGTCCAAGGACACTACGAGCATATATTGATTAGAGGTATTAGATATATGTATGTCGTTGGATATTTTACTCAATATATCCAGCGTACTTTTCCCTGTTCTAAACCCGAAAAAAGTTTCATTTAACACATTTTTGTTTTCAATATACCAGTCTATTCTTTCTTTTATGATTCTCTCAAAAGTTTTGGCAATACATGAAATCAAAGATATCGGTCGGTATGAATCTATTTCCGTTGGGATCTTGTTTGGCTTGAGGCATGGTACTATTATGATTTTCTTCCATTCTTCAGGTATCCAACTGGTTGTAATGATTTGATTGAAACATATTAGTAGTTCAATTTTTAATTCTGTTGGCCACTTCTTCATCATCTTATACGGCACATCATCATATCCTGGAGCAGTATTTTTTCTGTCTTTTAAAGCCTTTTCAAGTTCTTCCAGTTTAAAAGGTACTGTCAGTTCGTTATCTTCATAATAATTATACGCGCTTTCCTCGCCGTCATCCAAAACATAGTCAGGAGTATAATTTTGTAGCAATAATTGTCCGAAATGGTTTGTAATCTTTGGTCTTGAATTGATAGTGTTGTTTTTGTTATTAAAAACTTTAACTTTGTTCCATACTGACGTAGGACTTGTGTTATGATTGATTGAATTAACAAATTTTATCCACTTTTCTTTCTTTTTGTTTTTCAAGAACCTTTTGGTACGAGCATTTATTTTTTGGAATTGGATGAAGTTTTCGTAATTGTATTTCTGACTCATCCTTTTGTAAGCATTCTTTCTATCTGCAATAGCTTTTTCGCAGTCCTCATCCCACCATACTGCTGGTTTAAATATAGGTTTATTTGAGTCTTTATATTGTTTAATATTATTTTTTGCAGCTTCTTCTGTAATTTTCATTATATTTTTATATTTTAAAGTTATATCTTCGGAATTTTTAACTATACCAATAAGCCTTGATATTTCTTGTGTATATTCTTGCCAATTCGCGAACTTGATGTTCCATTTTTTTGTTGGTCTTATATGGATGACCGATGGCATATTTACATCCAATTGTATTACTATAGGTAAATGGTCTGATCCCAAAGCCTCTTGGTATATATCCCACTTGACCGTATCAATAAAATTGCTTGAGCATAATGTTAGGTCTATGCTGGTGGCCCTTTTGTGTTTGCTTTCTATTGTGGTAGGTTGTCCATCGTTGAGAATTATTAATCCTTGGTCCTCTATGATTTCATACATCAGATTTCCTCCCCTAGTAATGTAATTGCTGCCCCACGCCGTGTGGTGGCTATTGAAGTCTCCTGTAATTATTGTTTGCATCGTGATAGTCTCAATGGTATTCTTGATGTCAGAAAAATCAAGATCTGCTCTTGTAGAACAGTAAATTGAAACTAAGCAAAACGTAATATTTGTTTTAATTGTAACAGCACAGATCTGAATATTTTCATCATTGTTAATTGTAGGGTGTTCTTCGCAGTTGATATCATTTTTAACAATAATTGCAGCTCCGCCATATCCATCTTCCCGGTCTTTGCGGAATATCCTGTAGCCGCTGAGAGAGTATTCAAGCCCAGGTTTAAACCACGTTTCCGAGAATGCGGCTATATCAATCCTGTTCTCATATAAGAAATGCTCGATGCTGGCTTTATTCGAATTAAGAGATCTACAATTTAATTGTAAAATTTTTAAGTGTCTTGTCATGCTTTTTTTTTTTTTTTTTTACTTCAATATTACTAATATAATTATACAACTAACTTATATTCAATACTATACAAAAGGTTATTTTATAACAGTATTTTCTTTACCCTTATATGTTTGAGTAATTTCTAACTTATTTCTATGTGTAATTTTTTCAATACATAAAGAAACAATTTCCTCTTCTAAATCTGTCCATATTTTGTCTGTTTCTTCATTTGTTTTATATCTTAGTCTTGTTTGTATCTTATTAAATGTTTCTCTGAAGTATCGTTTCATCATCTTTTTTTTCTCTTCATTATCGCTATCGTTATCCTCCTGATTATTCGGAGTTTTCCATTCAGTATCGTCTTTGTTTATTTCCCTCCTTCTATCGTAGTATTCTTTTACATTTCTTCTTCTGTGTCTTTCTTCAATTTTGAATATCGTTTGCTTATCACGTGGTATTTCGTTTTTCTCACTCCTGTCGTGTATTATGGGTTTTTGTGTTGTGTTATGATAATTATTTTTGTATCTATTTCGCTCCTGTGCGCTGGGTGGGTCTCCCGTTATTTTGTTGACATTGCTATGATTTGTACTGCTTATGTTATTGTTGTTTCTATATGCCAATTTAGGTACCGTTGTTGTTGGTCTTATGATTTCTGGTTGTTGATATATTTCTGTATATTTTTCTATCTGTACGTCAGGCAGATCGGGAAAATTGATTTTGTTTTTAATTTCTACATCTGGTCTTATGACATCAGCATATGTTTTATTGTTTAATATCGCCCTGGCTTCCCTAAAACTTATATTATAGTCGGTCATTATATTTTTTACTTTGATGTGATATAAATATTTACCACATTTTTTGTCTTTTGCCTGATGCTCTTCCTTGCATAATGCGCATATCGGAGAATTTTCTTTGTTTTCACAGTCCTTATATTTGTGTTCGCCTGAACAATGACTACACCTTGTTTTACCCTTACACTGATTGGTCACGTGGCCGTAATTTTGGCAATTAAAACATTGTGTAATTTTATTGTATTGTTCGACCCTGAATTTGACTGCATATATCGACACACGATCAGGTAATTGTTGTCCCCTGAAGGTTATTACACAAGTTTTTGTAGGCACTAATTTATTATTTTCTTTTTTATTTATTCTTTTTAAATCTAAAATTTCAACATCTGATTTTATATCTTCTCTTATCTCTTGATCTGTCATATCAGCGTCTATGCCGTGTATGACACCCTTCCTAATTAGTAAGAACGTGGGTATATATGCTCGCAATTTATTTTTAACGAACACCTCGTCCTTAATAATATTATTTGCTATATTATAGTTATTAAATATAATTTTGATTCTGTTTTTTCCTATGGATCTTATTTCAATTATATCATGTTTATATTGTGGAAAGTTTTTAAACATAAGCTTGCCTATTGCCATTTGGTGTACCACTCCATTATTTATATTTTCGGATTCCACGTAGATAATGAACGGTCCTATATCTCTGTTTGAGTAGGTCAAATTTTTGTATTTATTATTATATGAATTTTTATTTATATCATTATTTTGGCTAATTTCTTTTATAGGTTCATTAATTTCTGAATTATCTTGATCTTCTAATTCTAAATCCATATTTTTGTTGCTATCTATTTCTGTACTAATATTTTCTTCTTCCATACTTTCATCCCAATTTATTTCCGACTCTTCCGAGATATCTTCACTAGTCTTGTTAGAAGTTTTAACATTTTCTAGTTTTTTAGAAGTATTTTTTAATCTTTCCGTCACTTTTTTTATTTTATCAGTTTTAACACTTTTAATTGATTTATTTAATAAATTAATACTAACACTTTTTTTTCCACTATGTAGTTTATTGCCTAAATCACTTAATTTTTTAGAATATTCACTTTTCTTGTTAATTAAACTATTATAACATTGTTGTGTTGAATTTAAATCTTCATTATAATATGTTTTCATTGCATCAGCAATGCTTGTTCCTAAGTTACTGATTCTATTAACATTGTACTGAGGCGGCGATGACTCACCGTTCTCTCCGTACTCACCACTCTCCATATCTTATCTATATTATCACTCAAAATTTATTTTTAATAGTTGTTACCTGTTCGGCGATCAAATCGAAACTGTTCTCAATATTTGATATTCAATATAATGATAATAAATAGTACTTTTTCCCACGGTATAAGAGCACCTCAAATCAATTATTCCCTTTCCCTTCCACTATTACCATTACCATTTTATTTTTATTAATTGCTTTTTAATTCACTCTTACGGATTTTCCTTTTCAAACTTCTGATTCTATGTGTTACTGGTCTTGTGCTTTTATTCAATATATTTTATGATTCTTAAAATGCATTTGGAAATCTATGCCATATGAAATGGCATCCTAAAATAATTATCCGATTATCAATTTTTATCTTATTTTTTTTATCCGCTACAATGATAGCTTAAGATCTCATAACATGTGTGATGTAAACCACCTTAGTTAGCAAGCATGTAGTACAAGTTATCATCTATATTATGGAATAAAAAATATTGCATTTATCATATTTTTAATAATTACCTCTTTTACTGTCAAAAATTTAAGATGTTTTCTTCAATGAATGTTATTTTCGGATTATTTTTTCAATAGAGAATACATATTCACAAGTTTTTCAATTTTGTCATCTATTGTATTTATCAAAAAAAAATCTAATCTTTTAGGATTCAAAACTTCAATAAAACCCAAAATGAAATAAAATAAAATATACAATAGTTTAGTCTAGATTGATGCATTCATGTTTATGTATTTTTTATCTAATTCTTTTATATTAATTTGGTTATAAGATCTGTATCTTTATCATGCAAATAGAAAATTATAGTTTCAACCTCAAATTAACCTCAAACCAAAAACTTTTCAATCTGAAGAAAAATTAAAAATTTAAGCAACAGTTCTCAGGAGCAATTTCAATAGAATCATTTTATCCATTTGTAATAAA